GGCGGGTGGCCACAGAGAGTGAGGAGGACGGACATTCTCGTCTGAAAATAAACTGTGGCCCTGAATGGATAAACGAGAAACTAGGGCAGAGCAGGGAGCCAGGGAGGGGCCGAGGGCAGAGCGAGAATCGTGCCTGTCCTGGGAAGATGGACGGATGCCAGTGCTGCTCCCAAGCGCCTGGTACCCGCCGCACCTGCCCCGCTGAGTCCTGACCTCTGGGTCTGCTCCCTCTCCCAGCCTGGGCCCAGCCATCAGTCACAAACGTCTCTCCCTTGTTCCTTGGTCTGCATCTCGCTTTCTGTAAACCCAGTGTGACGCTCGACCATTCAGTGAGCGCGAGATGTTCCCGCTGACCCATTTTACAGATGGGAAAATTGAAGCTCAGAGAAGGGGAAAGAGCAGGGACTGGGACTCGGGGGTGCGGGGTCCCAGGGGTCCTCCTCAGGCCTGATTGGTGGCACTTTTGAAGCAGGCGGTGTCTCAAAGGGTGAAAGTGCCCAGCAAAGCAGCCGAGAGCAATGTAGCGCGGGCGCGAAGGCCTGAGCTCGGCTCCGGTGCTGCCCACCCGCGGGGTGTCTGCCCGCTCGTCTGGGAACGGCGAGCTTAGTCAGGCCCGGCCTTCTCCCGTCTCGGCAGAGGCCGGCCAGGCCCTGCGGTCGGCGCGGTGGGCTCTGGCTGCTGTGACCGGTCCTGAGAGGGCGTGGGCCCCAGGCTGGCCAGCACGCACAGTCCTGTGCTTTGCTGCAGCGTCAGGAAACAGCTGTTTTCACGTCTCCTAAGTGCACGCAGGGCGGCTCGGAGCTGCTGGCTGCCATCTCCCCTGCCTGGGGACGAAGGGCGGCACAACCAGGAAACAGAGACGCTGCCTGGGGATGTGGCTTGAGCACCGTGATCAACCTAGACCCGAAGCTAACATTTCCAATTCCATTAACCAATTAAATCCCTTCTTGGCTTCCCCTAGCCAAAAGAGGTCTTGTGGGTACAGCCTGTTAGTGGTGTGGTAAGGGTTGCTGACCAACCTCTCTGTGCCTCAGTTTCCTCATCTGTAAAATGAGCTGAGATTGTCTAGGGTGAACGGAGGGTGGGCACCCAGTGCCTGAGCTGTGCCTGGTGCTACAGTGTCCAGCGCTGTCTAGGGCTGCCCCCCGGTGCCGGCCTTGGGCTCCTAATTACTGGGACACAGGAAGGTTTCCAGCGGAGCCCAACCGTCCCTGCCGTTGCCACAATCCACCAAGAACGCTGAGGGCCAGAAGAAAAGAGGGAGCGGACATCTTAGGACAGAAACAGAGAAAGCGCCAGAGCTCCAGCATGGGCAGGGGGAGACCAGCCGCTTCCAGGAAGGGCAGGCTGGCTCTGGTGCTCGGGAGAGACCCCCGGGGCTGAGGGCTACGGTGGGGTCTGCGCCCCAGACAACTGCCGAGAACAAGGCTGTTCTGACGCGGCCGGCCTCGGCGAGACAGGGCGCCGATGCCTGCAGGGAACTCTCGCAGGGAAGCCGGCAGGCTGTTCTGCCAAACAGCTGTCCCGCATTCGGGGTCTGTGTCCTTGTCTCCCGGCTAGGGTATTCGCACCCCACCCTCACCAGCCGTTGGTGGCCCCGGGGAATGGCAATTCCCGGCACTTCTGGGTCCGGTGGGCATTCAGGCAAAGGGTAGTTCCGCAGCCCGGGGAGCTGAGACAAGCGACAGGGAAGCCTGCGGGTAAATGCGGGAGGGATCGAGCACTGTGGATGGAGCGGCTTGGAGCCTGCTTCCATTACCCAACTTCTGGGCTGCTCTTTCACAAGCATAAGTCATGGGCTGGGCTCAGTGGCTCACCCCTGTCACCCCAGCACTTTGGGAGGCTGAGGTGGAGCTCGAGACCAGCCTGGAGAACATAGTGAGACCCCATTTCTACAAAAAAAATAGAAACATTAGCCGGGTGTGGGGGGTGCCTGTTGTCCCAGTGACTTGGGAGGCTGAGGCAGGAGGATTGCTTGAGCCCAGGGGTTTGAGGCTGCAGTGAGCTAGGACTGTGCCTCTGTACTCCGGCCTGGGGGACAGAGTGAGATATTATCTCAAAAAGTAAACAAAGAATTAACAACAAAAACAAGTATAAGTCAGAGAAGCCAGACGCAAAAGGCCATCCAGTGTAGCACTCCATTGGTGGGACATGTCCAGAACAGGAACATCCACAGAGGCGGAAAGCACATGGGTGGTTGCCAGGGGCAGGGGGAGGGGGAGTGGGAAGTGACTGCCAATGGGGACCGGGCTTCCTTCTGGGGAGATGGAAACGTTCTGGAACTAGAGGCGATGGTTGTACAACACTGTCAGTGCACTAAATGCCACTGAACTGAACACTTTAATTTTATGTTATATAAATTTTACCACACATAAAAAAGCTTAACTAGGGCTATGTTCCTACTGAGCTCTGAAACCTCCCATGGCTCCCCATTGCCTCGGGACAAAATCCACACTCCTCCCCCAGCCCAGGAGACCCTTTGTGGTCCCACCCCCAAAACCCCCACCCTGTTTCTCTCTCTCTCCTCTCTGACAGCTGCAACTCCTCTGACAGCCAAGTTTATTCTCACCTCAGGGCCTTTGCACCTGCCATTCCTTCTACAAAGCATGCCCTCCTTCATCCTTTAGGTCTCCAAGAACGCCTCACCTCCCAGACCCCCACTGTCGCCTTCTCCTTCTACTTGGGATGTCACTTTCAGATCACAGACTGCAGTGTATCATTTCATTATGGTTTCAGATGTCAGCCAGAAAATTCTACCAGGAAGCAGCAGTTAAGTGCTCCTGAAACGTGAAAGAACGAATGAACGGGTGAACAGACCGACAGACGGACAGAGGCTCTGCCAGGGAAATGCCGGAGGGACATTCGCCACAGCCTCGAAATTACAGCCCTGGGAGGAAGCAATGCTTACTTACCCGTTTGACACAGGAAGAAACTGTCTGGGTTCAAGTCGGATGCTTTTCTATCCTAAGACCACAGCTGCCTCCGAAACAAAGAGCGACAATTGCTGCCAGCTTGTGCGTCGTCAGTTTTACTTCCTTCGAACATTCTTTGGTGGATCTTCCTTTCAAACTGCTTAGGCAAGTGTTCTCGGTGCGATGAGGCCCATGGCTGGCGGGGTGGCGGGACCCACCCCATTCCCCACGCGGCGGACGGCTTGCAGCAGAGCTACCCTGTGTGCTGGAGCACAGGCCAACACTCCCGTGTTCGCGGGCGTGTCTACGTTTTACGCAGTTTTTACAAAAATGACACCATGTTTTGCAACTGGATTTTCTCTTCTAGGGTCTAACTCATTTCTTAAAAGCCCAGTTATGCTTCAGACCCAAAGGCCTTTAACATATCCCTGCATTTGCTTTGTCCCCAAGATGCTGCCTGTGCAAGCAGGCCTCCAGAAGCAACTGTGGACGCAACTTATGTTGAGATTTTGGCCTTACTGGGTTTGCCTTTGATCTCAGTGGGCAGAGAAACACGAGCTGCTATTTATTTATTCGTTTAAATTGTTTTTCGATTTAGAGACAGGGTCTTGCTTTCTTGCCCAGGCTAGCTAGAGTGCAGTGGCATCATCGTAGCTCATTTCAGCCTCAAATTCCTGAGCTCAAGTGATCCTCCTATCTCAGCCTCCCGAGTAGCTAGGACTATAGGCATGCGTCACGATGCCTGGCTAATTTTTTTTTTTATATAGTTTTAGTTGGTCAATTAATTTGCTGTCATTTTTAGTAGAGACGGGGTCTCACTCTTGCTCAGGCTGGTCTGGAACTCCTGAGCTCAAACGATCCTCCCGCTTCGGCCTCCCAGAGTACTTCTGCACACATCCAGGTTGGGGTTTCTTTCGCCTTTTACTATGAACACATACGCACGCGTTGTGAGCACATGCACGTGGGGACGTCCGTACGTGGGCACGCAGGCGCACCAAAGGCCCTTGCTCTTGACACCGGAGCGTCCCGGCAGCACCCTCTGCCTGTCAGTGGGCGCCGCTCGGGGAAGAGAGGCCAAGGGAGGAATGTTTCAGTTCCAGTCAGCACTAAATGACAAAGTAGCAGGGAGAAACTTTACCTTCCAAATGGGAGAAATCCTTCTCAGTTTGCAGAGGAGAAACTGAGGCCTGAGGTCCAGTGGCCTGCCTGAGGTCAAAGCCAGGACGGGCGTCGTGGGCTGGACACGCAGCCTCCAGTCCTAAGTGGCCTCGCCGGCCCCAGGGCCGTGTCGACCAGTTCCAGGTGACTTTCTCAGGAGTGGCACTGACGCTGGTGGCCAGACACCACCACCAAGGTAAACGTGTGAGTCTGGGCTGGCAGCAGGGCCACTGCCACTCCTGAGTGCCCTGCAGGACGCCGCGGGGAGAAGCGAGGCTGGGTCCTGCGTCAGCTTCCCAAGTGGCCCTGTGGAGTCTCTCTCCCTCTAACCCGGCCACCGGGCCGTCCCAAATGCAGACTCACCTGCCCTGTGCAAGCGCGCACAACGCCCAGCCCCTCCCCTTCACACTTGGGCAGGTGAGCATCCGCAGGTCCCACAGGTGCGGGCTCATTGCCCGCCGTGCCCTCTGCGCCCCTCACCAGCAGAAGGGCCGAGGGGCTGCGGTGGAGCCCCGGGCAGGCTGGGCAGCGCCGGGAACAGCAGGGAGCTTTGCTGCTGCCTGGGAAGCTGCTCCTCAGGCAGGGGAGCCCAGGCGGCCTCGGTCTTGCTCTGGCACGGAACCCCAGCCCTGGGGTGTGGGGCAAGGCTGGGGGGAGTGGGCAGGGCTCCTTCCTTCTCTAAGGCAGGTTTCTGACTCAGTGGTCTGCTCCCCCCCCCGCCAGGCCTCCCAGCACAGGGACTGCCCTCCTCCCCATGCTCGGCTCTGATCGCCGCCCGCTGTCTGCACCCTCTGGCCGCTCCCGGTGACGCAGGGACTGGGGCGCGCCAGGCAGGAGAGGCACGCCCCGGGAGGCCGCGAGTCTGCACTGTCACCTGCGTGCGCTCAACTGGTCTGGTGTTAAAAGCACATCAATGGAGACCGTGGAAAATTGTGTTTCCTCTACATTTATTGCAACTGCTAAATGATTAACAACATTCACAACTTCTTAGATTTATAAAACAGAACTTCCATTTTGTAACATCACAAATGTCTTCTAGGTTTTACCAGAGACCAAAAACACTAAGATTCTCTAAGTGATCTCCAGTGATGGAAACAAGCCACAGACAGTGAGCACCCAAAGTGGCGAGTTAGCACTTTCCGGATGCCTGTCGTCCTCACGGAAGAGACCCTGGAACTAGAAGGACAGAAAAGATGCTGTGACTGTGACGAGGCCGTGGCCCAGCAGGTCGCGCTTGCACGCAACGTCTCTGCAGGGCGGCCTTTGCGCAGAGCAAGGACAGCGCTGGTTAAGGCGGGGGAGGGAGGACACGGAGGCCAGCAGCGTCTCGTCCCCAGCCGACAGCTGGAGGGAGGACGCACCGCCACACGTGACCCCCCACCCCCGGCTCCCAGGACACCCTCCCTGCCTCGGCGTTGAGGCCACAGGAAAGGCGTCCTGAGTGCTCATGGCACTTTCTGGTCTCAAGAAGTAGGTGTTCCCTGATGCCTGCCACGGGCTCCCAGAAACCAACTCAGCTTAACCCTGGGCGTCCCCAGCAGGAACGGCAGGAGGCTGTGGGGGTCGGCGCCCCCACAGCAGGAATTCCTAAAGCACTTGGCTTTTCATAAGCAGAAGTGGAGGAAGTCAGGAACGAGCAAGACAGGACACGCGCACACCGGCTCAGAGCTGCGCGACGGCCGACCCTGTACTCTGAGCTCTACCCATTCGTCCCAACATGGAAGCTGTTGGAAGGACTGGGAAAGAAGAGGAACCCCGGTACCTGGGGTCCCCCCTGAACCAGTCTCAGCCCAGACCAGCACAGGCTGGCTCGTCGAGAGTCGGGTTGCAAACCTGAGACCCATCCTCAGTGCCGGCAACACCAGCACCTCCCATGGCCATCAAGAGCTGGCTGCCAAAGCAACAGAAGAGACCAGAAGCAAGCAGAGCCTCGGGGACTGCAGCGCTGGGCAGGCTGGGGGTGTGGGGGGGGTCAGAGAGACCAGAGAGAACCTGAGGAGCTGGGACGACAGCCTGAGAGGTGTGCGCTTAAAGAGAGCAAGGATGTCGTCACAGCCAATGGCTGTGAGTGGCTCTTCCCACTCAGTTCTGCGGCTGACATCCTAACCCTTTGCTGAGTCCCCCAATCCTGGAGTCAGCAGGATCCCAAATCTTATAGCTTTTAGCAGGTATTTAAAACTTCAACACTGCTGCTCTATGAAGGGATGAGATTCACACAGCCTTAGAATTTCACGTGTCGTTACAAGCAGCGGGGCTCTGGGGACGCTGGGAGGCGGCGGCAATCACCCGCCTTGAAATAGCTTACAGCTGCAGAGCCCAGCCCAGGCGGAGCCGTCCTCCTCTTTACAAAGGCTGTAATGACACAAGTCTTTACACGGCCGCACGTGCAGAGAATGAAGAGTCTTGGAGGGTTTACAACCCCCACCCCTTTGTAGGGAGAGACTCCATGTGTTTTTTTTTTTTTAAATCATACTGTAGTTTGCTTACATTGTAGATTCTAAAGTGGCATAGATTTGAGGAAAGTTTAATTTGTGGAACGATTACTCCCACGGAATACAGCTATACTGTACTGTCGCTAAGATTCCATTAAGTCTCTCGGGGCGCATTTAAGAGATGAGACACCGTTCACTCATTCATCCAATCACGTATCTTGGACCATTCAGAGTGCTTTGGAGCTCTGGTGCCAGGTGTGGACCGGGCACTTACTCATGTCTCCCTCATGTAAGTTCTGGGGAAAACAAGCAAACGCCATGCGTTTCTGCAGCACACTGGCTAACGGCACTCTGGAGACTGGCCCTCAGACTGGAAAACCAGCCGGAGGAGCTGGTGCTCGGCACTGACGGGCCAAGGTCCCTGTCGGGGCAGCACCACCTTCTGAAGAGAACCCAAGACAGACCTGGAGGGATCTGCTAAAACCATTTGCAAGAGAGAGGAAAGGCAAAAGCATATTGAAAATGGTGCGTTCTTTTTCTTCAAGAGAAAGAAAAGCCAGGGAAACCTCGGCCCCAGAGACTGCAGAGATGTTTGTTTTCACGTACACACCAAACCGTACTTGGGCACTGGCTCCAGGCAGGTCCGGGGCGGGGCTGATGTTTTAAGGGTAATTGCTGCTTCAAGGCTTATCTTTCTCACCAGTGGTTTTGATCTATTCAGGAAGAGAACAATTCTGTTCAAAACTGTGAGAAGGGCAACTAAAAAAAGAGTAGAAGGATGAGGACATCAGCCCAAGGCCCTTCAGACCCTCAGAAAGGTGGGCAGCCAACTGCCGTCCTTCCTGGCAGTGGCTTCTGCGCCCCTTGTGACTAGGGAAGGGTCTGTTTACTGGCACGTCACCACGGCAGGTGGCCGTCCCTTGTGAGAGAAAACTCGAGCAAGAGAGGAGCCAGGTAGGGGCTGCGGCCGGGGCAGGCTGGGCAGCAGGCTCAGGTGCGCCTGGCTAGCGGGAGGCTCGCTCCTCAGCGAACCTGAAAGGTGAGAAGCGGGACACATCCACAACCAAAGACCCTTCCTGTTTCCCTCACAGAATTTTGTGATTGTTTTTTTGGTAGTGTTTTGATGTTTGTTTTCAGGGGAGTGGGGAACATCACCTATTTAGAGGGAAACGTCTTTGCACCAGGACATCGGCACGGGCAGAAGTGCGCACGCGCGGGCTTGAGAACATACCTATTTGTTGGCCCGCTTGTGCCTGTACATCTGCATCATCCTCTGCCGGAACACGTCGAACGTGTCTTCTTTGTGCTCCTGCCCGTCGGCACCCAACCCCTCCCCTTCCGAGGCAGTCCCCCTAGGGAGCGAAATGGACAGTCAGTTGTGGGCCTGAGTGCAGGCCTGGCCCATTGTGAGATGCAGGTACCGGGACATACGACACAGACATCCGAGAAAGGGAACATCAAGACAGGATTCACATGGAAAACAGGGGTACTCACCGCGGAGAAGCACCAGCTTTCTGAGGGGAGCCCTGGAAGCCCTGACCATGGCAGAAGCCTCACCCGTAGGGCTCGGCTCAGTTTTAGTGAAATGCCTGCCGGATGCTACTAACGGGTCCAGCACCTCTGGGCCTGTGATCCCTACCCTGGCCGCCTGCTTATGGGTTCCTGGAAAACGGAAAGTGGTTCTAAGCTAAAACTACCCAGAAATACCACTGGCTTTTATGTTGATGATAAATGTGGCTGAAATGACCAGGGCCAAGAAGCCGGTTAATGGTCTACACAAGTGCAGAAAGGAGCCGTGTGAACACCTGCATATGTAAATGACCAGCTTTTCATCTGAAGACTCCGTTTGTTAAAAAACCAACCCAATTGCCAGCTGTAAGCCATCTTCAAGGTGAGGGGAACCAAGACTCAGGCTGCAGGTCAGAGGATTGGGGCCAGAACCCGCCCGCCCGCCCAGGCTACAAGTGCCTGCTGCGTACACGCTGACGGGCTCCCGGATGCCTTTCCCGAGCGAGCCCAGGCCGTGGCCCTCCTTCCAGCCCATCTTCTGCAGCATCTGGAAGCCCAGGTTCTTGTCGGTCAGCTTCTGCTGGGCGAAGTCAAAGTCCTTGGGTTTCTGCGGAGAGAGGAGTCCAGCATGTGGGCCGCAGAGAAGTGCCTGGAGCAAGGGTCTGTCCTGGGCAGCACCTGGACACGCCCCGGCAAATGCCCGCCTCACTTCCCAGATGCTCAGGATCAAGCTGTGGTCACCTCCCCAGTTCCCTGAAACATTCCCAGGTGGGGGGGGCACTTCTAAAGGTCAGAGGCCCCCAGGCTGAGGTTCACCCCTAAGGCTGGAACCTGATGACTGGCTCTTGGTCCTGCCTCTCAGATACACTATTGCCCTGTGCTAAGACTGTGAGAAAAACTGGGTATGGGAATGGCAGGTCCTGGGGCCAGGGAGTCAGCAAGAAGAGCCCTCAGTGGAGATGGGATAAAGTCAGGGGACACCAGGGAACAGGCCTGGAGGCAGCAGAGCAGGAGGGGGCCAGACAGATGGCAGGTGAGAATTAGCTGGTAGAGCCCTTCCTGAGCCTTCACTCATTGCTTCATTCACTCTCTGGCTGCCTTCCACGTCTGTCTGTCTGTCCCAGAACTGCGTTCTACTTAGTTGCTGGGGTCCGTGTTTAGCAGAGAGCAGACCTTGCTGAGGCTGCTGTAGCTGAGAAGGGGCCTGCAGGTGGTGGGGAAGCTCAGCACCCTCTGGAGGAGCATGCACAACTCTAGCAGGACTGTCCATTCATTCACTTATAAATGCACATGGGCACCCCCTTAGTGAGGGAACCTAGCTGGGCAGCCCAACACCTCACCCTGTGGTTCTTTCTTTTTCTGGCTCCTCAGGAGGTTTCTCTTTCTTTCTTTCTTTTTCTGTAGAGATGGGGTCTTGCTATGTTGCCCAGGCTGGTCTCGAATTCCTAGGCCCATACGATGCTACTGGCTCAGCCTCCTGAGTAGCTGGGATTACAGGTGCATGCCACCATGCTGGCTTTTGATGTTTTTCTTTGAGACATTAACTGAACTACCTGGGGAGACTGAGAGAGCCTTGCGTGCTCTTTAGAGTGAGGGAGGGAGGCGCTGAGGAGGATCAAGCAAGGCAGCCGGTGCTGGGCGTCTGAGCAGGGGACAAGTGTGGGCACAACTAGGAGAGGGCTGGGTGACCCTGTGTGCAGGAACCAGGGGAAGGAGGGTGTGCTGAGTGCTGTGAGCCCAGGGCCTGGGGGGCCAGCCCTCAGTAACTCAGCAACCTGCCCCGTCATGTCCTGCAGGCCTCACAATGCATGATTCCAGCAAAGGACAAGCCTCCCTCCACCTGCATTGAGGTGCCCAGGAAACAGCTTCCCCAACACCAGGGCACATGGAGGAGGCACTCTGGAGACAATGGAGCTCAGAGGAGACCAGGCAGAAAAGGCGGCCTGGGGGGCCCAGCACCCACCCCTGAGCATGGGATGACAGGGAGAAGGGAGGTGAGCACAGGATCTCAACTCATGAGAGAGGGAGGGAAGAGGGAGTGAGTGCTCCCACGAGGAGGGTCTGGATCCCAGGGTTTCTAAGAGCCTTGATGTTCTCACCATGGAAGGGGACAAGACAACCTGGAAAGGTGCTGAGCCTTCACTGACATGAAGTGAGGTCATAGGGCTCATAAATCAATACCCCAAAATACAGTGGGACTGTATTTACCATGTGGGACTCAAGAAGAAGCAGCCTCAAGTTCCCTCTGACACCCACCCCCTGCCTCTCGCCAAGCATTCAGGGAGGCTGCTCTCTGAAGTTCCCTTGGCTACCTAGAAACCTGAACATAATCGCCTTCAAGACCTTCCCTGGAATGTCTTTAACCAGAGATGAAAACTCACAACACTGAGGTGATGGCTGAACATTAACCACCACACCCACAGCCCAGCCCCGGGCTGCTCTCCCATTTAAGGCATGTGCCTCCGGGGCCATTCACTTCTAAAATCGTTTGCTTTCCCACTGCAATTAATTGCCCAGAGCCCTCACCTGCCCTCTCCTCCATGAAGAGGATATTTTAGCTTCAACCTTTTTTGAGTTTTCATATTGTTTTATTATTTTTTTCATTTTTATAAAATGTGACTCAATTCATATTGTTTTATGTGGCTTCTATACTTATGCCTGTTAACAATTTTTTTCCTGTTAACCTATTGTCAATTCATTTTGACAGACTTAGACTCTAAGCTTCAGAGAAGATAAATTCTTTTTGCCCCTTCTGAGGTGCTCCCTAAGGTATAAAGCAGCTGTGTGTGCGTATGAATCTCCGTGTACGTGTGCACCTGTGTGTACTTGTGCATCTGTGTGTGCATCTGTGCGTACATGTGCATCTGTGCGTATGTGTTCATCTTGTGTGTCTGCATCTGTGTGTACGTGTGCACCTGTGTGCACCAGTGCATACGTGTCAATCTGTGTGTGTGTGCATCTTATGTGTCTGCATCTGTGTGTACGTGTGAATCTATCTGCATCTGAGTACATGTGCATCTTATGTGTCTGCATCTTTGTGTATGTGTGCACCTGTGCATACGTGTGCATCTTGTGTGTGTCTGTATCTGTGTGTACGTGTGTATCTGTGTGTACATGCATGAATTACTCAACACAGGCGGCCCCTTCGCAATGGCACGTGGTGGGCTTGGCAAGGTGGTGTGTGCAGAAGTCTCTCTACAGGACGGCTAAGGAGGGAGGCAGACAGCAATGCAAGGACATCTTGGCAGGCCAGGGGAACACCAGACAGGAGCTGCCACACTGGGAGGCCCCTTACCAACAGGAAGTGGCCTGGAGAACAGAGGAGGCAGAACCCGAGGACTGAGATGAAAAATGGCGACTTGAAGGGGGGATTGTGAACTAACGTACAATTTTAAGGCTGAACCCCCACTGGCTGACTGAATGGACCCCTCGTGGCCAAAGGAATATCTTAAAATTAAATTGTCTGCCAGGAGGAGGGCAGTCAGACAGGCCTCATCATGCCCCCTCCCTTCTTGAGGACTTCCTTTGGTAACCATTAACAGGCCTGAGGATATGTAAGACAAATCTGCAGGTCTTCAATTTACACAACAAATCTATGTTAAAACATTCCGAGCCTCTAGACAAAGCTTCATGTCTTTAACCAGTTACAAGCCAAAGAATCTTTAAACCCACCTATAACCTGTAAGCCCCCCCACCTTCGAGATGTCCCACCTTTTTGGGCCAAACCAATGTATACTTTTCACGTATTGATTGATGGCTTTACCTGTAACCCCTGTCTCTCTGAATAACCCAGCCACAGTGAGTCCACTTGCCCAAGGCTCTTGACAGTGGCTACAGGTAATGGTCCTCAAATTTGGCTCAGAATAAATCTCTTTAAAATTAAAAAAAAGAAAAATGGACATCTGTCAGGACCTCCTGGAAGATACACACAGCCTGGGCCCTGGGATGGAGGGTGGGAAAGGCAGGGAATGACTGGTCATCGGGGGCCAGGGGTCCCCAGACAGCAGGCCTGTACCCCCTTACCCCTTCAGGAAGGCTGCTTGGGGACACAGTGGGAGGAACAAGGGCTGGCTTGGCCTGGAAGGATTTTTGTGAATGTTCATTTGGGTTTTGCAATATTGATGTCTGGCTTCCTGCACAGCTGGAGGAAAGCAGTGCCCCATGTGTCAGGGTGGTGTACACAGAAGAGAGCTGCAGCCACCACAGCCTCCTCCCCACCTGCAGTCCCCTTGCAAAACAGGACAGGTGCAGAGCCCCAAAGAGAGACAGTGTTTGTAGGACACCAGCCAGGAACTGGGTAAAGTTTAATCTCACAGTACCTGCTACCTGCAGGGTAGGTGTGGCACCCCATTTTACACATGCAAACCTGTGGCTCAGGAGTTACATGTCAAGTTTACCAAACCACTAGGCAGCAAGGCTGAGCTTGAATCCATTTGCGACTGACTCCCAGGCCCAGCTGCCCCCTCACCTGGCTATGCCCTTAACTGGCTACACAAAGGGGGCTTAAACCCAGCACACCATTCAAGACCATGAGCTTCTGCCTCAGGAAGGTCACTCCTACCTGCTGTGATTGCGGTCAGACTGACCTCTTCCAAGGAGTACTTGGAAGGGGTCTGAAACACCACAGCACTGCCCAATACCAGCAGAGAAACCTCTCCTGGCTCCCCGCCCTCCTCCCTGACCACTAAGGAGCTACAAAGTCTCTCCACATGTGTCCCAGGTGACCTTGCCTAGCCTCATCTGCCCCCATACCTGGCAATGTGCACCCCTGCTCATCTGGAGTGCACCTGTCCCCATGTCAGCAAACTGTAGCTCTGTCCTCCTAGTTGCCCAGGCTGATGACCCTGGGGCCACCTGGACTCTTGGTGTTCGCTCCTCCATACTCAGCCACCCGTGAGTTCCACGGACTCCACATTAAGCCCTTCTTGTTGCCTCCCCAACTGTGGGGACCAAGTGTGGGGACCAAGTCTGAGCTGAGCCTCCCCTTGGCCCCCTGCTCTGCTTGGGCCCCACCCCACAGGCTGCTCTCCACCAGAGTGGCCACACCTTCTGGCCAAACCCCTGCCCTGAGACCTTCCTTGGCCTCAGCGGCACCCGCACCCCACCTTCTTCCCCCTCCCCGTGACTTGCTTCTCTTGGCCCACAGCACTGGCATGACTGAGTCATGCCCTTTTCTTGTCGCTGTCAGCCCTGCTCACTGCTGCCCCCTGGTGGGCAGCTGGGGCCTGGCACACAGGAGGTGCGGATGGATGAGTGCACACACGCCAGGCTCTGCTTGCTAGCAGATTCATGCACTCCCTTAACCACAATTAGGGGCTGCTAAGCTTGAACTTCTTAATGGCCAAGACATTATCTTGTTCATCTCTCAAACCCCACTGCACATATCAGTCCTCAATTATCTGTTTAATGGACTAATCGCTACCCTCCTATGCTTTGGACAAGGGCCAATTTTAAAGTCCCCTGAGGGAAAAGTCTCTGCTTGTTGTGTTTTGTACATTAAACCTCAGTTTGAAATACAAGTATAGCTTCATCATAAGCTGCAGCATCCTTGATAACTCCAATAAATTCTGACCAACTATATCTTGAGTGAGGGCTTACAAATGATTAAGCT